GCAAAATCAGGCGAGGTCGTGGAGAGCAAAACGCTATGACCTTATCTAACAGCTGCATAGCAAAGCATAGATGTCGACCCACGGACTAAGGCAGAACATGAAATCGACATGGAGAGATGTGTGGGAAGTTGTGCAATTATTACAAGGGCACCCAGGAATATCGTTCACGATGCGCGGCGAGCCGCGTCCAGGGATGTACAGAAAGAAGCATAGAAAATAGAATGGATGAAACAGATGAAGTCATCGCCGCTACATACCTCCTCATTTTGGTTGACATACTTGCGTATTCTCTTTGCCCCAATGACACAAGTTAAAGTGACCCTGGAGTTCGAGTTCTGGTTGTTGGATATTTTGCGTGAGAATTTGCTCAGCTCAAGTTTGTTGCAATGGTATCGATGTTAGCTCGGTCATCGAGCTCCGACGAATCAACATGCTTCGTGAGCGGTGGCTCATAACGCTATGTATTGGTGGAGACCAATGAGACAGCGAGCAGGTGTCGTCTTGCAAGCAATGGTAGATTCTTAGTAGTTGATAATGGCATTTTGTCCCTTTCTTCAATACATATGTATTCATGCGTTGAAGATGAGTCAAGCCCAGCTCTGTTGGACATCCTGCAATGCGACGTAACAATAAGAAAACAGAAATCAGGGTCACAGCTATCCTTTTTTGCTTAAGCCATAAAAACGGTGTGGTTTTATCGACTCATGGGCCGATCACTGTAATGAGATAATGGGCCAGGTAGTGAGAGGGGTCTATATTCGTGAAATGTTGTAAATTGAACAAACGAGCCAACAAACGACAGTACGATCTGAAGATCAGATGTATGACACATGGTATGGAGTGTCGAAGTAAGGCAGAGGGAACCCCTCTTATTCATGTGCTCACATGACCTTGTGTCTAGGAGACATTTTCGTGACAAAGCATGACTGTAAAGGCGGATTTGTTGACTAAGGGCCGATTGAGGTGAAAGCAGCTGTTGGCATTTAAGTCCCCGTCCCCAGTAGAAGCTTTCGCACAACTTCGAAATATCCTTGTATGACACGAGCTAGAACATCGCAAAGAACGCCAAGCTATAATTATGAAAACCAACAACAAATCGCAAATGCTAGGTTTCTCATCGCGACCGATCTCGTCACCTCTCAGGCCTACCTCTGATCCAGTCACCATCACTTTGAAAGACTTGGGCCCTAGTACCAGTGCTACGTTGGCTCGATTTTGCAACGATTCAGACACAGTAGCCAAAGGCTTTTGGCAGTGCCGCATCGCCGACTACAGCCCGTCAGATATTTTTACCAAAAATGGAATCGCCAGCTTCCCACTGGAAACAGATAACGACACGTCCAGAGTGGATTTTTACATGACGGAGGTCAAACCTTCGCGGCGAGAAAACGCTGTGTTTCGCTTACAATACACTGACACCGCATATCGTCGCCCGAAGATGGTTTCGTTCACAAATCATGCGCCCGCAGGTCTTGATAACAACAACCTCTTTTCAGCTGATGTGCTACGAAGACGCACAGCCATGTACGGCCACTACTATATTGGCGACTGGTCTTGTTTGCTTGGTGAGCCATCGTCTTTGTTGAGTTGCGGCCCTCAGCTTGAGAGACTATTCGTGAATAGTGTCAAGCCGGGCATTACAACGCCGTACCTGTACTATGCGAAACATGCACTCACTGGAAGCGGCATGCATATAGAGGATCTCGCCGTGCCCTCAGTCAACATGGTACGCTGGGGCGCCCCTAAGCAATGGCTGTTCGTCACACCTGAGCAAGAGAATGTGAGAGCCTTCGAGAAGAAATGCCGCGAGACATTCCTGTGGCGCACACATGCCGGTAGGCCTCAACGCGCAGCGCCACACTGCTCACAGTTTGTGCGGCATGCAAATGTGATCGTGACGACTGAGGCTCTCCGTGACTGGGGCATCGACTTCAGTGAGACAATCTGTCGGGAAGGGGAGCTGGTGGTGACTCTCCCAGGGACATACCACCAGGTCTTCAATATGGGGGAGAACCTCGCAGAGGCTGTCAACGTGATGTGGGGCAACTGCGGTGAAGTCCTATCAACGTACACCTGTTGCAGCCGTGATGGATGTGGATATAATGGCGGCGTCTCCCAAGAGGATATGATGCCAGAGATCTTAGGTCAAAGGGCTTCAGGAACGCCACACAAGCTGGGCGACAATACATCGAGGTTTAAATTAGAGACATCCACATATACGTAGCAGGATAGTAGATATTCGAAGACACAGAATGGAGCACATGTCGTGAAGATTGCTTTTGATATGGAAAGGTTATTGGGCGTGCGTGTTAGATGGCGGAACAAGTTGCCCTGACACAGGATGCAGCTCTAGGATGGGTAGACACGTGCGGCCGTTGTGCCCAGATGTCGTCGAGCTGCTTCAGATATCTAAAACCATTGTTTGAGAACCTTCCATCGACGACGTAGCAGAGCGGTTCCTTGGGTGTGCGGAAGATCCCCTGAGTGAGCCTATCCACTGGCAGGATCACAGATCCGCAGACAAGAAGATGCCATTAGAAAAGAAAACAAAAAAACAAAGACCATCCGCCAAGGACCAGTAGCTAAGCCATTAGGTCTCGTACGGAGGCGAAGCCAAAAAAAACTGTCGTAGCGAGCTCTCGGCCTCGATCCTTGTCCTCGATCCTCGTCCTGTTAACGGACCTTCTAATGCTTGATGACCTCAATGTAAATATCATGTATCACGAGCATGCGCCGTCTCTTTTTCCAAAGCGTGGGAAAAGAGGCGTCTGCTTCGAGATGTTGTATCTGATGTATCAGTATGGGAACCGAAGTTGTCAGCGTCACAGGATGAACAAGCTAGATCCCTGATGAGTGTCGTACTTGCCTTTTACACTTTCATATACGTAAAGGTTTGTCCACTTCGTTGTACGCACTAGAATATAGAAATTAACGGGTCTGCGCGGTAAGTTGGTAAGAGGTTGATCACCACTCGCACTTGTTAGCTTGTTACTTACAAAACATCGGACGCGGTATAACAGGTTATAACTGGTTACCCTACCATAGTACTTCCAGTTATCGCAGACTTAGTGATCACGTTGGTGTCCTCGAACCATTTATACAACGTGTCTCACTTAGCTTAAGTATAGTCTCAGCTATAACAAGGTATAAAAAACCCCAGCGCCATATGCTTGAAGGAAATTGGAAATCGCCTACGCACAGCGATTCACAATTCGCCAGCCATGCAAATCACTGTCCAAGTACTCGACACGCAGAAACGACCTATCGCAGGTGTTTTCGTGA